GCACGCACGCACGCACGCACGCACGCACGCACGCACGCACACACACACACACACACAAACTTATTTGAACATCACAACCTTTTAAACTCAAATTCAGTTAACAAATTGTGAAATTCAGTCCGGTGATGATTGTTCTTGTTGTTTTTGCTATAATTTGATGTTGTCACATAGCAACATACTGTTGTGTGTTTTTGATGTGTGTACCTGCTACTGCACCTGAATTTCTCCACGCGGGACAATAAAGGCTGTTTCTATTCGACTCTAATCTAGTTGGTGCTGTGGCTCATGTGTTAGAGCTGCTGCCTCTCAGAATAAGATATAATCCCTGCTGTGATTTCCTCCCACAGACCAGAAACATGTTGGGCTAACTGGAAATGTTCATTCTAACCAGTACAAATGGACTGTTGTCATTTATTCCTACATCCCAGCTGAGCACTGTGGATCTGAAGCATCAGATGTTTTTCTCCCAGTATTATCAGGTACTAAACTGTGTGAGTCCATGTACACATTCATTAAAACACACTTAACTCATTCAGAACTGAGCAGAAGGTCTTACAGCTCCACCTAGTGGTAGCAACACAGTATTGTGACTTTTTACTGCAAATTACAGGATTTTAAAAAGTTCATTTTAAACTTTATTAAAAATAAAAAGAAAACATGTAATTTAAGGAAGTTTAAACAGTTGTCCTGATGTTTTATGTGCAACAAAAACCTTGAGCTAACAATTAATCTAAAAATAATTATGTGGTGTAACGTCTTTTCCTTGAGTTCATTTTGTTTTCAGGTAATCGACACACAAAGACAGAAATGCGTGAGTATAAAAGCATGTTTAATGTTGAAATAAACACTTTAAAGGTTGGATGTTCCTGACAGAACATCAATCAACAGCTCTGGGATAAAGTTTAGGTCAAATTTTAAATCAGCGTTTTTGTTTAATTTAAAAATAAAAAAATCTTAGATTTGACTGAAGTCAGCCTTTACTGTATAATAATGGTAAACTTGTTAATGAATTCAGAACAACAACAAAAAAAACCTTGACAGTAGAACTACGGATCGTCTTCATTAGGACGTGTCCATGGCTCCAGATTCTGAAATGTAAATCAGAAACATTTATTTGCCTTTTACAAAAACTTGTATCTGGTAATTATTGTATCATGACATTCAGTAAACACACACTCTGAGACACAACACACTACACAAAMACAAAACTAATAAAACCAAGTCCACTTTTTATGATTCCACTTTAAGTGGACATTTAAATTATTTAATCTGAATTCCTCCTTATTGKAACTAATTTATTGTAGCTCTTCTTTACCTGCTGTTCTGAGGTGTGTCTGAAAGAAACTCATTTTGATGCTGTCCCTTTAAATGCAAATGAGACATTTCCCTCCTCCATTCACACCATTCAGACATTTTTGTAGTTTGAGATTATCTAGCAGCTCAGAAACTGTTTATTTTAGTGCTGTGAAATTAATCGAGTTAACTGATTAATTTTAGTGCTGAATGGGCATAGATTAAACATTTTAATCATGATTAAAATTTAAAAATCATTTTACTCTGGCTGAATATGTAGGTTTGTATATTACAATGCACTCAGTGCATCATGTCAGGTCATGTTTGTGTAGGGGTCACCTCGAGTGAAGAAACAAGATTTACTGCCTCGAAGCAGGCCTCGGACAGGCCTGATGAGAGGACAGGAACTCTGTCACAAACTGATCTCTATTTATGCCATGACAGGTCATTCTAACCGTGGAAGAGAACCCCTCAGTTCTCTTAATCT